GTGTCCCGCACGCTGAAACATTTAAATATTTTATACTAGTAGTTCCTAACCTTTCTTACGATGTGAAATTTTAATACAACTTGTTGTGGCAACCCCTAGCTTTTTACAATTATTAGTTGAGTTTTGTTTTATACAGAGTTTTTTTTTTTTTTTTCGCCATATAAGTTTATTCATAACATAAAACATATGTAAATACAAATAGCTGGGGCAAGAAGAAGACATTTGTCTTATCGCCAAGCCCCTTGAGTTGTTAGTCCTTGGCCTTGCCTTAAGGCCAAAAATTTGGGCTTTGACCTTGAAACTATTAGCCTTGATGTTACACATTTACTTACATTTTTTTTTTAAGAAAATTTTAGATACAGAGTACTTTATTTAGAAATTGACAATTGTGCTCCCTCTCCCCCCCCCACCCCCCTCTTCACTTCAAAACCCGTGTCGTCGGCCCTGGAGTTACACTTTAGATTCAAAAGTCTTTTACCAAAAAAAAATATGCTATTTTGCAAATAATAGAAAAAAACTTTTTTTTTTAAATCTTGAACGAGTAAATCACTTGAATTTAATTAAAAGGTGTTTCCGTTAAAAAAAACTGTAGACAATAAGATACTATCCAAAAATTAGAAATCTATATTTGACAAGTATTTCTGTGTCCCTGCAACGTTAGCTCCTGTCGAGCATCTTATGTGAGATTGGATTGACAATAAGCTCTCATAGAGCTCGAATGTCTGATTCGTTGCTTAAAATGTTGATGTTTCTTAAATGTAATAAAGGCTTATAGGCTATATTTGGTGATAAATAATGCTTATGACTTATAGTTAATGCTAACAGCTAATATTAAAATACTTTTAACTAAAAGATGTATAAAACATAAAAGTAAGGAATTATAAGATTTAATTCTTTATTTCTATGTATTTTTGTTTTTGGCTTTTATATATATCTCACAAATATATTTTCTTATTGACTTTGTTGAATTCTGTGGATAAACTTGATCTGATTTCATAACCTATGCTTTTATTGTAGCAACACACGGTACCTGCAGTTTTGTTAATAATTGGCCTTAACGTAAGGCCAAAATTTAAGTCTTAGGTCTTCAAAATGTTTGCGTAGGCTTCGGCCTTGAAACTCTTGCTCTTGGCCTTGACCTCAAAACTTGGTCTTGGCTTTGCACATGGCCTTGAAACATTTAGCGTTGTGTGACCTTGCTAACTTGTTTTGTATGAGTTTTGTTATATTATTATTATTTTAAACTAAATTTTTAATAATCTACAGACTTCATCTAATAATAATTAAGAGTTAGAAAGTTATAACCACGCAAAGTTTTGAAACCCGCTAAAATATATGAAATTTAGATTGTAGCAATCTCATTTGAAATATAAATAAACATACCCAACAGTGTTATAAAAAAGGTTTTAATCTTAACTTTCTGACCCGGGGAAACTCTTTGGTGGAATGACAGTCTACACTGTGGAGATCACTTAGATATAAGTATTGAAATTAGATTACAACGTCCTCTCAAGTTATTTACATTTAAATTTTCATCCCAGTAAACACTAAACGTGTCTTAAGTTTAAGGTGGCTTCACAGAAAATATTTTTTTTTAAGTAAAATAACTTAAATCAATTCTAAAATTAGTTTTATAAATTTAATTTATTGAAAATAATAATAAAATATGAAGGTTTATTCGAAAAAAAAAGGTGGATTTTATTGATAAAAAACGGACAAAAAAGCATATTTTTATGTAGAGTTCTATGGTCAGCTACGCAACGAGCGCAACATGTTTTTAAAAATTTAACTGACTCATTATGTTATAATTTTTATTTTTTTTTTACGTTTACACTCAAATTATCCTTTTTTATTATTATTCAAAAAAAAAAAAGATAAGAAGACAATTTGAGTAAAATAGAAATAAAAGACAGCGGTCAGCTACGCGACGCGCAAAAAAGCTTGTTTTTTTAATTTAAAGTTTGAATTATTTTTTCTCCGAATCTATAATTTATTTTTTTATAAAAACGTTTTTTTGTTCAAAAACAATTATTTCATTGAAGTTATATTTATAAAAAAATTTTAATATAATATTAATTACACGTCAAATAAAAAGTTTTCAAAAAACTATGCGGTCAGCTACGCAACAATCAGCCACGCAACATGCGAATTTTTATTATAATTCAAATTAAAACCCAAAACAAATCTAAAACTATATATTTAGCTTGTATTTAGAAACAATAAAATTTATTTATAAAGTTTATAAAGATAATTTTACATTAAAAGAAACCTGGACCCCGGGGTGGAAAAGGGGGAGGGGGCTTTAGAAGCTTCAGTACTCTCACTTTTTTAAATAATGGGGCTGGGGGGTAGGTAATACAATTTCCTTTTAAATGTACTCTTGATATTTTTATCTGTTCACAACCTTATTATGTAAACGTTTTTAACTCAAAGATGTATATAAATACATTCATTTTACTTGCATTTACTTTGGAACTTTGATCTTCAGAGCTTTAAGAGCATCAATTATTTGGACAATAATTGAACAACTAAAATAATTTAAAAAGCAACAACTAGAAGTTCTTTAAACGTGTAAGCTGTTGTTGTTGATCGAAATGTATTAGGGATAAACTGAATAAACCTTCCGAGCTTAGTTGCGCAAAAAAAGTCACCCCAAGAAAACTTGAAAAGTATTGAAAAAAATAAGTAAGACTTTCAATAGAATAACAATAATAGGTAAAAAAAAAACGTTTTAAGAAATCATGCAGTCAGCTACGCAACAATCAGCTACGCAAAACAAAACAAATCTAATATTTATTTATGGCTTTTATTAAGAAATTTTTACAGCTTTTTAAGGTGATTTTTAAATTACTTGATCACTGCTAAATGTCTAGACGCTTCTATTCCTTTGATATTATGCAATATTTGGCGAAAGCTGCTCACCTACAATGTTACCGTCTAAAACCTGAAAGTAATGACATTTATGCAATTCTTTATTTTTTTTTGTTTTCTTAAAAAAGGTGCTCAAACCAAGAGTGTTGTTTATCTCTAGCTTTTCTTTATCAGTCAGTAATATAACTGTAATTTTTAAATTGTTTGTTGCGGCTGCCAAATCGCTAGCACTAGAAATTATATATTTTTCAGTTAAAACATTTTTTCTGGCAACACGTTCTGGCTCCAATTCCATCCACAACTCCTTTTCCATGCATTGCAGCAAAAAAATGCCAGTGCATTTTAATTGTATACTTTTTTTTCTAAAATTTTCATTGATGCCAAAATATATTTATTTTTAAATTGTGATGTTGCGTTATCACTGAAAATATGAACTTCTGTAATATAGTCTGATAGAAGCTCGATAATTTTATTTATGTTTGGAACAACAGATAATTTTGTATGATCGCTTGAATCACAAACTAGCGCAAAAGATTTAATTTGACGATGCCAAACTGCACATGTAAATATAGAAATGTGATTTTGACCGAAATGAGCTGCTTGCGTTTCGTTTTGGTAAATACAAGTATAATTTTCTGCCCAGTCAACTTGAATAACAGCCTTATTTGAGTCTTTTTGAATCGCTGATTCTATATTAAATTTAAATACGGACGATTGACTGCTCTTGACATTACAATGAATAATAAACTTTGCACGCATTTCTTTAATATGTGATAATAAAACTGCAATTGTTCCTTCTTTTTTAACCTTTTCTATTTTGATATACGATTTTGCTTGAGGTTTCTGCCACTGATTCCATGAAACATCTTACTCAAATTGTTCGAACTGAAGTAATAATTTATCAAACATATTACAAACAGTACATTCTTTGCAAACGGCATTGAAGCATTGTTTTGTTGGTTTTTCACAAATAAAGTTTAGAATCATAGAGTTTCCCGTTTTAATTGTAGTGAATATATCTGAACCCCGCGAAAGTGATTCAAAAGCATAACGCATATTTTCATGTAACATGCAAACGCACACGTTATGAGGAATTGATGATACACATCGAACGTAAATTGGTCTCAACAAACAAAATTTTGACAGGCTTAATTTAATATCTGCATTGTTTAGCTTAAACCCTTCGAAAGCTTCTTTTAGCGTATATAACATGTGTCAAATTTGAACACGCACCTTTTTTTCTCCTATCACTACAGAAGTATAATCTGTTGTTCTTGGGGATATTCGACTTATTTCATCGTCGCAATAAAAATTTTGTATAACCACTAAGTCTTTTTCTCGGAGACTGTTTGTTGATTTAGGAATTGAGTAAGTTAATGGTTGAGTTTCATTGAGTAAACAACACAACAGTTCCTTTTTCTGAACAAGACTTTTGGGAAGAGAGCGATTCAATTTTTTTATATACTTTCCTTTAACTTGCACATTTGCAAATGATGAGTGATTTGATTCGAGAGATAAAGATGCGTCTTTTTGCCGCAGTCGAAATTTTTACATTCTTTCTAAACTTTTTAATCTTTCAGCTGCAATTTTTCGAAAATCATTTTTCCATCTTTGTCTTCGAAGTCTAGCATTTTCTTTAGCTTTGAATTTCTTTTCTTCATGATTTCTACTCATGTAATTCTTTTGATTCATTGCTTTTCTATTTTTTATCTTTATGGCTGTAATAAAAAAAGTAAACATTCAAACAAATGTAAAAATTACTTAAAAACTCTATAAAAACACAATGCTCACCTTTTTTATTTTCATTGGATGCGCAAGCAACTGGTTCCTGCAGTGATTCCATATCTTTATATTGACTATAAAGTCTTTTGGAGTTTTAAATAATTTCTAATTGACTATAAATGTTTTGAAGTTCAAAATAGTTTGGGCAAAACTATTTGTTGCATTTAAAAAATTGCGACATTTAAATGTTTAGTTTTGGCAGTCAGCTACGCAACAGGAGGATGAGTGGGTTTTTTTTTAACTATTTGATGCCAATTTTTTTTAATTATTGCAAAACCTTAATATGGCTAATTAGTTGACGTAAATAATCGACAAGGATTTAAATTGATGAAAAAATACAACTTTTC